TAGGCTCCTGTGCTGAAGTTTTAGAGATGGCAAATAAACAAAGTGCTTTTCATTTTCTACTAGTAAGATCACTCTTCAGTATGTGGAGATACATTACTCACTAACCATGTCGTACTTAAAATTTGGTTTACCTTTGTAATTATATAATACACAAAAATTATATAAGATATTTGTAATTTTGTTAGCAATTGTGTCTCTTTTTCACAAATACATAGGTCTATATGTTGATCTCTAAAAGCATTTTCCTGGACTGCACCATGAATATTTCATATAAAAATAAAACTAATAGTTTTGTAAAATACATCAGCATACTTTCTGCTTGCACATGATGTAACCAGGTAGCCTTCTAAAAATACTGAAAAATACATGGTGGAAGTACTGAGTGTATTAATAAAACAAGAAAGTGCACACATCCTGAAGTCTGTTTTTTTGTTTGACCACGAAGTACTTCCTCCCAGTCGTTCAGGCAGGAGGCAGAGGCAGGCTATAGGAAGGTGGGGACAACAATCGCTGGATTTCTCTGGGTGGTTGCCAATACAAACTTGTGCAGTAGACAGCTGACAGCAGGCTCACTGTAAGTTTGTGTTGGACATCTGAGCTGGGTGGATAATCTCTGCACAAGCAACTCTTACATAGAAGCAAAAATGACTCAACTGGAAGGTAGGCAAACTAAGCCATAATCAATCAAGCAACTTTGCCTATAGTTTTACTGTGGCAGCTGGGTGGTGATCTTTATCATATGATTTATTGGGTAATAGTTATTCAATGAGACAGCAAATCCAAAAGCCAAAGCAACTTTGTGTAGTGGGCAATACCAACATAGCAATAAAATATGGCTGACATGAACTGCACTTAATCATGCCATAAATAGTCAAAAATAATTTTGGCTGATTTTGGCTAATTGCAAGAGCATATCGGAGCATATGGCCTGTATCCCATTAGCCAATAAATAAAAGTTGTAAATGGTACATAATAATGTATGTTCTTGCAGTGTTCAAAATGGCAAATATGTACTGCATGTCATCAATTCTATGAAGTAGCCTAAAGAATCTGCTAAGATGCTAAGTGTTGCTAGCAAAATTATTGCTTGTTCCCACCTGTGCGCCCTCTCCATGTTTGGCTGTAGGTCATATGCTACAGGTAACATGAGCCGATCTGCTGTGAAGACGCAGTAAAGCGGCTTCAGGTCTTCAGCATACGCGCACTAAATGATGCAGAGCTGTAGAAAATGCAGAGAAAAGCTTTTTTGCAATGCCCCACTGGTTCACACCCTCTGGCACCACCTAGTGAGCTTCAAAGAACGCACAGTACAATGGAGCAGCTAATCCGAGGCCCGAGCTGCCTACTGCCCCAAATGGACCAAGTAAAAAGGCATTATTATCCTTTGATGCAAAGAGGTTACTGTTACGGACACTGCCCTTAAGCACATTTTCTGCAACTTCTGAAGTAGGCTACATGCTACTTAATGGTTAATGATAAGGAAAATGGGAGTGATAGCAACAGTGGAGGAAAGAAATTACATGAATCTAGATTCTTGAGCAAGGCGTGGGTGCTGTTTTTTCTGTGGTTTTATATTACTATAAATTATAAACTAAATTGATTTTCTAATTCATTCTGCCGTGATTTACACAACTAAGCCCCTACCATTACACCAAAGTAGCTCTCTACCTACTTTTAAATAAATCAATACTTGTTTAATTATTAAAGTATTCAAATGAAGTTGTTTCCCAGAGATTGATGTCCACCCTCTAACTCATCATTCAAAATCTGATGTTGATTATTGTTTTATTTAGTGCATAAATCAAGAGAGGGTATACATACCAACTGAGGGAAAAATACACACTGTGCTCAAGCAGAGATGACCAGCGGTGTCAAGGTTTTGCACTGTGGTGTGAGTGTTTTACTCTTAGTATTATTGATCAACATGCTTTATTAAACAAAAATGTTGATCACTTTTTTTTATTTATTTTTTTTTATTTGACCTGTTGCCGTGGGCCTGTGGTGTGGCTCCACTCATCTGACTATGACCTGTCAGTTGCAGGGCTGACACAGAGTTGCTTTTTTTTAGTAAATAATAATATCACAGGTCTTTATAACTACAGAAAAATTTGCCAAATGTACCAGTACCATAAATGTTCTGAATAAAAAACATGGCTGAAAATGAGGGCACGGCCAGTAGTGGACCAGCAGGTAGTGTGGTCTGCCTGTCAGTTATTGTAGTTTTTGTCAGTTGCTTTGGCAATTTTTTCTGATTAGAACTGAATATTTCTTAATTTCTTGTTTAAACCTTCAAATTCTTCTGTTCTTTTCTTTCTTTTACAGTTTTTCCAGAGAGCAAATTCTTTGGTGTATTGTTTCAAATTATTTTGTACAGTTGTCTGATGATTCTTACACTGTCTTTTGATTTTGTCAGACAGTGCACAGTGTATTAAAGTGGATCTCATTCATTTGGACAAATCATTCATATGAGATATACTCTGGGAAAACAAGTGCATAAACAAATATTCAGACTGATACAGAAAAATATGCACACTGAGCTTATGTAATAGATAACCCTGTGAATCGCTATTTCATCTTTGCACTGCTTTTCCATGCAACCTTTGTATATACCTGAGATATATTTGTATTACCATTCTTTCTATACTTTATTTTTACTTGTATACATTTATATAACTATCCCTTATGTAACACCAGCCTCTTGCTATTTTTGATACTTATTTAGAATGTATTATTACCATTTATATTTTTTCTCTTTGTTATTATAATGTACTATGATGTGTGAGCTATGTCCAAATAATTTCCCTTGTGGATCAATAAAGTTTGTCTAAGTCAAAGTAAACATTTAAATATCCTGTTCTGTCTTTGAAAGACATTTCCAACACAGGCCTCATATATTTGGCCTGTGCATAATCTGAAAAAATTTTGACTCCACACTTCACTGAGGTCTGTACATTCCAACCCATCCTTCACTGAAATACTTCATCTTGTGAATTTCATTAAGGACTTAAAGCAGGTTATTTGATTTTGCAATAAATACAATGGGTTCTGGTGTTTATAATATAAACACTGGAACTCAGCCATAATTTCATATTATAAAATGTTTTGAGAAATGCATTTAAAGCTTTGAAAAAATCAGTTCTGATCAGAAAATTGTACCAAAGGAACTCAGAAAAAACAAAACACAAACAGAAAAACATATACCACTTTAGACTTGTATCTTTAAAAAGTAAATTAAGCTAAAGCAGGACATCTAAAATATCATTAATAGTTTAATATAAACAAATGTAGGTACTGTGACGATGTTTTATACCTACAGTAGAGGAAAACAGTGTCTTGAAGGAGTGGTGCAAGTTCAACAAGTTTCCCAACTTCAGTCATATGATGGGCTATTTATTAGGTGTAGTGAAGGTGTAGTATCTTCAATTAAAAAATTGCCCAGTATCATTAAATATATGATAATGTATAATGTGTGTGTATGTTTTTGTTGTTACAAGTTTGAACATGCTTCTTATGCACAGTCATACTAAACAGACCAAATTTGGTCAGATTTTAGCTTTACACCTGAGAAAAAAAAAAAACATCTGTGGTTTGATTTTTTTCTCTATTAAGCCAAAGCAGCTCTCATTAGTATAAAACCAGTCAATGGGCGCATCTCATTTCTCTATCCTTGCTCCTGAATAGGTGAGGAAGTCCCACCCGCAGAGGAGACACAGGGATGAGAGAGGGGCAGATGAGAGAGGAGAGAGGCAGGAGGAGACACAACCTGGGGGGTGAATGGTACAACTACTCCAAGTTCCTTAGTTTTAATGTAAAATAATCTTGAATTTTACATGTCAAACATCCTTTGTTGATGTACCTGTACTGAAGCAGCAATATAAACTCAATGAAACAAATAATGTTGCCTCTTCCATTGCCTCCACTACGGACACCACATAATATGACTTGCTTGACTGACAGCTGAAACATGTAGGATCGAGGAGAGGAATCAAGGAGAAAGAAGCGAAGAAAGAGAATTGGGATGCGGCCATTGTCTTCTTGAAGCAGGAAGGATACGTGTACTCCCCCTGCACTATATAACAGTGTAAATATTAGACAGTCACCTGTAGATGTCTAGAAGATAGTGTTTCCATAGAGATGCGTATAGTCAACTTTGTATTGTTCTGCTTCTGAGACAAGAAAATTGAATGACATTTGTGTTCATGACTATGTGTGAAGAAGGCCTTTACAAATCCAGATTAATGTTGTGAACCAGCCATACACAACTCATAAACAACCTCTCAAAGTAAGTGTGGCTTCCCCTGATAACAGAGTGGTGTAAAGATCTCCAATTTCCTGACAGTTTTTTTTTAAATACATAAATCATCACCTTCAGGCAAATATGATGTGAAAACGTGAGCAGTAAAATTTCACAGTATCAGAGCAGGTACTTCCATGGCAGTTTTGAGAAAGGGTGCTAAGGGATGTAATTTTCACTAGTGGTTTAATTAAAGTGAAAACAACAAAGTTAGCCATGACATTACAACTACAAAATGGGGTTGTTAAAAGTTGTCAAATCAGATGCTAATTGATACCAAAACTAGTATCAAAACTAGATACTTATTTGAACAAGTGTCATTACTAAAAAAATATTAAACACTACAACCAGCTTAGCTTTATCATAACTACTATAAGACCACAGTAAATATTATTTGTATTGAAAATTACATTCTATTTTCTAAAAAGTTATCTTATTACTATCATTGTGATACTGAAATCAGTATCAAGTATCAAGCCAGTTTCTTAATACTGAAATCGAGTTAAGTTGTAATATCCTGACAACTACACATAGTTAAACAATACCAAAGATTTGTTTTTATTTTGAACACAAGTCATTAAAACTTTATATATACTAAAAAGTGATTACATCAGCTTCTTACCACTTCACTTTTCACTCACTTGGGGCATGTCTCTGTGTTTTCTCTAATTTCTTTAATGAAGAAAAGGCAAAAAAGTTCAAATTTTGTTTCACAATTTATTAATTCGAGCTCAGTAAGCGACAATGTTTGTTCATAAAATATACTTATAAAACAACACTTTGATCATATACTATAGAAAAATCATCCCTTGTGGAAAAATTGTATCTAAATAAAATATATCTACTCTTACATCTTAATTAACACAACAAAGTTCTCACATGCATAGCCATCTGTACACATTTTGCATCTATAAAAATAAAAAGTGGTATACAGTCTGTAGATTTGATACTGGTTGCTGTACCATCTGGTTGTGCAAAGGTATAGATATAAATAGATCCTGTACCCTACTGAGTCTTCTTGAAATATAAAGAAAACTCAAACTTGTACCACCCAACAGTGAAACAGCAGTGTTCGGCTCACAAAAATAGTATTAAAAAATCTGCAAAACATTCATTAAAGTCATCCAGTGTGTATTCAAAATGGGGGCGTTTGATGTCTACATCAACGCTGGTTACATTATTATTATACTATATTCTGTCCATTCTATTCCCAGCTTTTGTTCGATTGTATGCTAAGGCAGCCTGTGCACAAGAGGAATGGCAGCTTGGGTGAACAGAAGTCATCCAGTGTCACACCAACAAAGAGGAAAAATAAACATCTTATACAACTATAGCTGGCAGTAATAAACAAAATGTGTGCTGTCATATATTAAATAATTCAGATACTATAAAAAAAAAAAAATTCCAAATCAGAATTATAATGTAATTTTATAAGGTAACTATTCCGGTTAGAGGTCCGTTACCATGGAGATGCTATTGCTTTGCCTGGAATGTTCCACGATATGATATTAACCTTATGTGAGATGCATTAATTCAGTTATGGATGTTTTTATTTCTAAAATACCTTTAAAACATGTATTCTTATTATAAGTGGGGTCACCTCTTCACAGATCTCACACACAAACAGGCCTGGTGTTGGAGATTGAAAAGTTTAATACCATATTTTGGAATATTGGAGGTAAAAAAATCTCTCTCTCTTTTTCTCTGTCTCTCTCAATTTTTTCCTTTTCTTTTTTTCATTACTGAAACAATTTAACAGTTCGTTTTGGGACTGCATGTAAACTTGTTTACCCAAATATCCCCTCATTGACCACAACTGATTTCCAAGAAGTCATAAAAAAGTAAAAAAAAAAAAAAAAAAAAGCAAAAGTCTCGAGCTGGTGAAGTGCATTGACATAATTAAAGTTGGATATTGCATCACTGCTAATGGCCCAGTAAACACACAGCTTGTACAGAGCCATAGTCTCAGTGAGGGGTATGCTCGTATGTGGGAAACATTGACTTCCGTGTTTTGGGTGGTGGCGGGGGTGGTTTGTTCTCAATTTTTGTTGGTAACGGAGGAGAAAACTGTTGAGAAAGAAGACACAAGTTAATTTAGGGATTTCAAACGTGAACTGAATATTTTTAGCATTTATGTGTCATTAAATATGCATAAGTGAAGGGCTGCTGTGATATATATTTTTTACAGGCATACATACCTCTGAAGGAAACCCGGGGATGTCAATCTCATGTGGGTGCTTTTTGGGAGGCATAGGTGGGGGGGTCCCTGGGGCGTCAGTGGTGTTGGTGTCATTATCACTGAGAAGCGAGGAGTAACCTACAAGAGAGGAAATAAATTTTTTTCAAAACCGCATGTGACCTAATTAAGACTGTAGACTTCACACTCTTTCAACGGTAAGGATTTATTGCTTTGCTGTGAGCGAAGCACAACTATAAAACGCAACATGTACTTAATAGTTTGTTTATGTAGTATGCGTTTAATGAACAACACAAGCAATTATCACATTTTCAATAGCTGTTTCTTTTCTACTTTAGCAATAGTCATTTCCCTATTGCTAATACGTCTTAAGCAGTATTTCTCTTGGGTTGTTTGTGGTGCTGTATAAACAAACATTGCATGTAGAGGTGACATTTGTAATTACATTTATTTGAGAATCACCGAATAAAGCTGATACTGTTGATATATTGAAGCAAAGTAATCACAAACACCATAACTGGATGTATATACTGTACATACTGGAGCTGCGTGGTGTGCTTTCAGGGAGGGGGGAGGCTGTGATAGGGCTGAGGGGGGTGGACAGACTGAGCTGAGATGAACTGCCTTGAAAAAGAGAGAGAGTCAACCGCCGGTCGCCCAGTTGTAGACTCTTGGGTCTTGGCTGCTTTTCTGGAGGATTCTGCAACAAAAGACAATTTCCATTTAGAACAAATCCCAAATGAGTCATGAAACTGCCATGTTATACAATGATCTTTTGGAACAAATTAAATCACTTTATTTGGTATTGTGATCGTTTTAACTTGGACTTTCCCCTCTGGACCTGACAGAGTATATAATCTACTCCACAATGTGCAATCATTTATAGTAAAATGTTTTTAAATAAATATTCAAACTGGATGAAGGAGAAAGTATTTAAATCTAACTAGATCTTAGCTCTTGCAAACCCTTAGGCACATCGTTAATATTCACATGAAAGACTTTTTTGGGATGTTTTTTTTTTTTTCAGACAGCAAAGTAAAGCGGGGGTGGGCCTCCACAACATAGTCAAATTCATTCAAGTCATTATACAGCTCTTACTTCTGGGTTAGTGATTGTAACAAATACTTTCTAAATTGCTGCAGACACACAAAATGTACTAATTAACATGAAAGAAGTCAGATACCCCAGCTTTAAACAATCACTCTCTATAAAAATTAAGAGCCATGAGGAATTTCTTAAAAAAACATAAGTCATTGGGCTTAAAAACGAGCAAGTAAAAGAGGTTTGGTGGTCAAATAGAAATAGGAGTAGTTAAATTAGATTTTGTTCATCCAATCACACCCCTGGGAGTCTGTGATAATTAAAAGAAAATGTTAAACCGTGGACCACCACACACTGAGACCGGATCTGTCGGAAGTCTTATCCACAAAATCAGCATTGCCCTGTTTTAATCCTAGAAAGCTTTTAGAAGATAGTTCATGACTCACCGTCAGGCAGAAATAAAATAACAACATTGACAAAATAGCTACTAATTATTAAGTCCGACTGGGGAAATAACTAAAGATGCATTTAAGACTCAATACAATTGTTATCGACTTGACAACAACATCTTGCTTCTGTTTCTTTGTTTTCTCTTACAATTTAAGTCCTTTGATTTGCTTTAACACCATTTGAAATATTAGTGTCACATTGGCTTTACCTCAGTTGAGTCCATCTTTTCAAGTAGGACCTGGGACTTGCTTACACTCCATTCTTTTCTGTTCTTCCGAGAGATCCTGTTGTCCTCCACTAAAACTGAAGCCCTATTATCACTGGGACGTGACAACAACGAGCTGTAAATATGAAAAAGGAAATACACAAGACAGGAAACAATCAGAAAACAGGGCTTTTAGTCTTGAGCTGAAACACTGTGAAAAACTTTTCCCTGCAGTGAATACAAATTTGTACTATAAAATTGCATGGGGTGAGACAAAATGGTGCATTCTGTAATAGCTTAATTGTTATCATGACAATTGAGTTAAAGTATTTAAGCCATAGGCTGCATATGCTGTCTTAACTGCTGTAAATATATATCTGATGAATAGTATACAAGAAAACAATACAAATTCTGTGTTCAGTCAAATATAAGCTCTTTTATAAAAGCAATATCGTGCACCAAATACACAATTTTAATGACCTGCTAGCTAAATGAAATTGCTGTTTTTTGAAGCATAAATTTAAATGATCAAAATAAGACTAAGCATATAATGTTTTCAGAATATAAGATTCTCTTTTAGCCTTGGTTGAGATAGTAATGTAATATTTTCTTTTCTCCATAAACCATAATAGAGGGCTTTTTTATTTGTACTTCCATCGAATTTCATAACAACTATCATTTTCATTTTTCTGGTCTCTATCTATCAAAAGCTACTGTGATGAAACTATTCCCCACAGAGATGGAAACTCAGACTCTAAAATAAATTGTCAAGGAAAGGAGACAAAAAGAAAATGTCTGACTCTTGGGACGAGACGCAGGAAGGTCCATCAGAGGAGGAGCTGGACAGTCCAGAGGAGGCGGTGGACAGAGTAGACACTACAGACATGCGGCGAAGGATGGAGGAGTGGATATAGGGCATCACCACCGAGCCCACATGGGTGATCTTCTTCTCCGTCAGTGAGTGGGGCTGGGGCACACAAATGGGATTAAGCATCAACTAGGGGGTTACAATGATAAGTAGACTTGTCACTATAACTAAATATGTGTGATAAACAAAAACATTGAAGATCTTTTAATGACACTAACACTGCAACCCCAAGATATTTCAAGTTAAAAACAATTGTCTAAATGGTGTTGTCCTGATACAAAAAAATAATTTCAACACTAAGAAAAAGGCTTGAGATTCAATACTGATTTTGCTACCACAAAGATCATTAAAAACAAAAGTAACAGTTGTAACAAAAAGTAATAGTACATAAATATTACCATGAGGTATTTTTTCTGATATTAGGGATAAATACCATTCAAAAACTATCCAGGAAAGGGCCTATTTTGTCCTAAATATGTAATTATTATATATATATATATATATATATTATATATATATATATATATATATATATATATATATATATATATATATATATATATATATATATATATATATATATATATATATATATATATATATATATATATATATATATATATATATATATATATATATATATACATATATATATACATATATAATATATATATACATATATATACATACATATACACACATATATATATATACATATATATACATACATATATACATACATACACACTAGTTTTGTGTATTCGTTACTGTCCGGGTAGCGAATTTTACAATCCTCATGTATATATGTCTGTAACAGCTGCAATAAATATGAGGCACAATTAAATCCAATTTATTGTAAAAATATTGCATATGTTAGTTTTTATATTCAGTCCTAATACTCCTACTACTAGTACACAAAGTTCTGTAAGTATAAGTGCATAATGGTAATGGTAATTATTATTTCATATACTGAACAAAGCCGAAAGGGAAACAAAAAGCAAAACGGGTGGTTACAGGTTGGGTACAAGATTTGTCAGTTCTGAGCAAGTTCCTATTGGCAAGTTTCTACAGCAATGTTTACTATTTGTGTTATTGAATTATAAACCTTGATTATGGGTTTCAGATTTCTAATTGAGCACACCAAAACAACTAGGTTTAATTAAATTTATTAGAGGTAATTATAGCTTAGAATTATTCAATTTGTCACAGCTCCTTCATAGCAGTTGCAGAGTGAAGCAATGACGCTGTACTTATAAAGATTTCAGGTGCCCTTTGTGTTACAATCAGCCACACACTGGGACTAAAGTAGGGCATGGACAGCCCATACTGTGCCAGTGTCACCCCATTATGGCCTCTAGTTAATAAAAAACGTAATTTAGCTTGGGTATGGGCAATTTTATGAATCAATCGAGATTAAAAATCCACTGTGGATCTTGGCAAAGGAGGTCGCAATGACAGGCGAAACAGGGGGCACAAAAGGCTGGCTAAAGAGAGATTTATGGCTCTCCTCTAATGTAATGTACACTCTAGCATGAATGAGAAGCATTTGATAGAAAGGCAAGAGGGCCAATAGCTTAAGCTGGCACCTCCTTTGGGTTAAATTGAGTTTGCAGTTGGCACCGTACCAAGGTTACCACACCGTACTGCCTCTCCACTTTCTCCCTGAGCTCTTGGAAGCAAGTGACCAGACGGTTGTGCAGGGGCTTGAGCTGCTCTGTCGCCTTGTCCCCGTGGATGTGAATACCGTCGGCCAGGAGAGGCATCTGGAGGAGAGAGCAACTTTAGTATGGCAAACCTGCTTCAACTGGCAACGTGAGCAATGACAGTGAGAAAAGAAGGCTTCTTATACCTGTAGGGCAATGAGGTGTTTGAGGACTTCAATCCGCTCATGGTCCTCAGGGTGCTGTTGGATGTAGGTGTCTGTGAAGAAAGCCTATGGGAGGAAAGGTAGGCAAGGGCATAGAGGAACTTAATCATTTGATTATGGCTGTAAGGATCTGTGCGTTAACATTTACATCAAAGATTCCAAGTGCATTGTACATTCATGCATATAAAGAGAAAAATGTAAAGGATCAGATAAAAGATGTTTTGAATGTTTTTGAAGATATTGTCTGGTCTACAATTAATTAAAGATGCAACATGTACTTTTCTAGTGGAGGGTACGCCACTTCCTTGCTTCTGTGGAGATGGTATTGCTTTGCTTGAAATGTTCCATGGTATGACATTAAACTTATGTCCATAGAGACAAACAATTGACACCAAGTTACAGGTCAGAATTTGTGTAGGTCACAGTGAGAATGCCGTTTTTCAAGATATTTTTGAGCAAGGTATTTTTGCATTTATTCAATTTGCATAAAGCCTTACTTTCATAATGCAGAGGTGCCCCTGATCAAGCCAATAACCCCTCTTTGTAATTACTAATCAACTCAAAATATCCACTTGGCTTATCCTCTCTCTCTGTCTCTGGGTAATCGTGACAAAGATCCTGGCTCAAAATCTGGAGACAAGTCCCCAGTCTGTTGCTCACTGCCCCTGACATTACCTAGAGGCACTGGTTCAAGGCTGAGTTAAATACAGAGGTCGAATTTCCCTGCGGGGATCATATGTCTAGAAAAAAATGAAGCCAAACTGCTCCAGGTCGTGCTGAGAGCAAACTTCGCTCTTTCAAAAGTTTGTTGCGTACAATGCACTGTGACTACTACAATCCTCTACTTTTGTCAATAGTCACAGCTTGTTGCTGAGTTCAAGTGAAAGGCAAACAAACAAAAAAAAGATCCAGAAAAATAACAGTTCCCAACAATTCCCAACTCAACTGACATACTTGAATAAAAGATTTCCTTTTGCCCTGGTGCATGCTGGGAGAGAAAGGATCTCACCCTCTCATAGTTCGCCAGGCCGCCCATGACAGCAGCGTCCACGATACCGTTCAGCATCATAGACAGAGGGTTGATGGACAGAGACGGGTCACAGGCCTGCTTCTGAACCAGGTTACTCAGCTTCTCATTGGTCGACTCCATGGTTTCAATGGCATTCTCCAAAGGACTAAGTTCTTCCTGCAAAATGATTACACTGTTAAGCTCTTTAGACAGATGTTGACCTTTGCATTTTACAGCTCTATTTTTGTGCAAACTGTGCCCAGTGACAGAAATGTTACAAATAATTTATTATATTTAACAAAATCTTAAAATAAATAGCATTGTGGCAAAATAATGTAAAGGTAATGTCAACACTAAATACTGTTAATGCTTAAAGCTCCCATATTACACAAAAAAAAGTCCCTTGAGCTGCAAGCCATGTTATAATGTTACATCCTCAAAAACAATGTTTAACCTTTTATTATTAGTCTGTCTACATCTCCAAAGCAAAATGCTCTGTACCACCTTGTGATGTCTTGAAGGGGTAGTTTAAGTTAACAGCTGCCTTTGGCCTTTAGTTAAGCAGATTGTCAATTCCATGGATGAAATGATTCTAGTGAAGGTGCATGGAGTTTAAAAACATAGCAGAGTACGAACAGGATTACCACGTGACATCACAAGGTGGAACTGAGCATTTTCAGTTTGAGAGATCATCTCAGCCAAAAATATGCAGGGTTTGTGTTGTGAAACAAAACATAACTTCAGGTACATTTGTGATGAGGAAAAAACATTATAACATAGGAGAGAAAACAGCATAATATGGGCCTTTTAATAGCAGTTTACTTGCTACTAGAAAAGTTTTTTCCAGAATAAAATTGAGCCAGTACTTTTTATAAAACTGCAATATGCTCCCAAATGACACTACATACATACACTGTTGTGAATGTTGTTAATAAAATACAGATTTATGACCTTTAATACTTATTTCTTTACTTGTTTTGCAAAACTATAAACAAATCAACATAAGAAAATGTATCCATACCACTGAGACAGATTTGACTTCAAACCACTTGAGGATCCCTGGGAAGCGATAGGCAGTAATGTATGTCGTTCTCTCAATCCACATGGTCTGAAAGGCAGCATTAATATCAATAAAAAATGAGGCCCTGACATTCAAGTGCTTGTATTAATCTTGGTACGTGTACACAAACTTGTTTATGTATATTTGGGGGATTTAGAGGGTGGATAAAGTAAAATTGAAAAAAGTGCTTACTGCAAATTCATTTTCTTTGTCTTTTTCACCTTTCTGGAATGGCCTTGAATATTGAAACTGGTCCACTTCATTTGCTCTGTAATAGCTGCAGAAGTAACAAAAGGAAGCGAGTTAGTGATGTGATCAAAGATGTATGAAATCAGTAGCATTTGCCAGAAAATATGTCAGGCGTTAAGTCTTGTACCCACTTTAATATCTGCTCTGGTACTCCCTTGTCCTTAAACTGGTGGGGCACTGAGAGAGCAGGCTTCACTGTGAAACACTGTATGTCTGTGAGGTTCAGCTAAGGATAAAACCAATATTGTGAATCGGACTTTGGAGATTTATTGTGAAGCAATTCATCATAAAACAAAGCTTAACTGAACAGTCCTGACAGCTAATAAGGTATGGAGAAAAATGCTTTACCGTCCCTTATGGCAGAGTCTGTCTTGGGGATATAGCTGCATCACTACACAATTACGAAACACATAATAGCACTAAGTATGTAGCTCGAACATAGATTAGGGACACTGTGTAAAGCAATTACAAGTGAATATAGACAATAAAATGTGTTATATGTGACCTTTATATAGAAGCTTGAACATGTATTTTTTGCTAAACCGTCTGAGCTTGATTTCTGGACTAACAAATATCTTGGGACTTGTTAGCAGGCATTTAAAACTGTATCTAAGCAAATTCTACTTTACATAGAACTTCAATGTCCTATTCCCAGCACACTGCATGTGGCCTTGTTTGTAAGGAGGAGAAACATGTTATGCATAGAAAATGAAAATAGGAGATAATAAGGGCTTAAGTACTAGAGTTGTTCAGTTTACAGTGTATATTCAGTATTCAAAGTGGAACTTAATATCAAACAAGTGGAAATTAATTTAAAAAGCCACTACTTAAGTTTGTATAGCACATTTGCACTAAAGCCTCCGACTGCCCATAAATATGCACCATTTTAGGTTTTCAACAGTATTATGATGAATTACTATGTTATGTATAGCCACATTTCTCTTGCTAAACATTTAACCCTGATGGTGGAAAAGACAATGCTGCTGAAGCAGTAAGCTGCACTCATTTACACGGTCATACAGATCAGAATACATTTAGCCCAAGCAACCTTTCAGATCAGATCTCGGCGGACATATTAGGGTCACAGCCAAGACGCTATTGGACCACTCAAGATGCTTAAGGCAAACACAGGCAAGATTCAAATACTGTCGCATAAACACATAAATAACCTTGTAAAGTATTTCAAGTATTTTGCATTTTTGTGGTGAATAAAACCCACATTGTTTATCTATTAAAATAAGATTCCATATATTCAGTTTTCATCTGTATTATTACTACCTGTCTTTTTGAATTGAACAACAACAGCTTTCTCTGGCATTTAACATTGCTCCTGCACAATGTTTGCATTTATGCTTTTGTTTGCTATATAGTTATAATCTATGACAAATTAATCATTATTTTATTGATTTAAAATGCCTTCATGAAAGAAAGAACTAAGTCTGACTAAGAACTGACTTCTGGTTGTAAACGGCAGCACTGTTTTCTGCCTCCTCTTTTACAGTTCGTCACAATAAACGTCATCAAAACAACTTGCCAAACTGTAGGATCCTGCTGACAGCCCCTTCTATGGATAGCTACACTGTTAGGAGAAAACTTTTTTTGTCAGCAACAGCGAGTGTGTAAACGAGAAGGGTAAACATTTAATGCATAGTTACACTTCTTAGAACTTGATTTTGCATATTATGTCTCCTTACAACAAAAGGCCTGACATCAGCATTCTACTGTCTGGAGTGTTGAATAGGCAGACTTGGCAAACAGGCTATGTCACAAATAAATGCTCTTTCTGTAAAAGCTTGATAAAGTAGCAACATCAACAAGAGTAACAAACAAAAAATATCTTTCAAAGATACACTGCCCGGATGAGTTACAGATGTTGTCTCCAGGGGGCGCTGTGCTTGTCATCCGGACAGCATTTGGGAACTGAGAGAGTAGCCTTAGACTGAATTCTTCAAGCCATTCGTACTCTTTGCCCCGGTATATGAACATTTTATTCTGGACAAATAAAACAAAATATGGTTAGGCTTTTGTATGAGGTTCTCATTTGTTTAACAATGCACAGGTAATGATGTAGCAGTGAAAGGCTTTCATGTACTGCTGGTACATTCAAATGTTATCAAAACCAATAACTTCAATTGGAGGTCTTTTCAATTGCCAGAGGCTTCAAGTAACATTCTGAATAGGCACCAAACAAAACATATGAGTGAGGGAATTGAAATCTCTCTATTCACTGAAGTATTTCTCTTACCCTGAGAAAAGAGGGGAATCCAAGCCCATAGTAACCAACTGCAAAGTACTCTGGCTGAGGCCGCATTGCGTGCATGATATTTTCATAGAACTGAGCCTGCTGTTTCTGTGAAAAACATCAGTTTCATCAAAAGAACAGACAATAAAAAATGACAATTGTGTGGCCTTGTGGAAAAAAATTAAAATAAAGCTAAATATTTAAATGCTTCAACAACTCCCTTTTATTAAAAAGGTGCATTATGTAACATGTCTAATGCAAGGTCTGTCCCCTGCTTGCCTCCACGGAGAAATTACTGCTTTGCCTAGAATGTTCCACACTATGGCATTATGGCATTCAAGAGTTTTTGATGCTCAAAACTATTGACCACCCACCAGAAAATCTACATAGTGCACCTTTAAAAATCCACTGCCAGACTATATTTTTTCTTAAGTAGCTAAATTATATTACAATGGCCACTAACCAGCAGTCGGCTCAGCTCCACGAAGTCGAACATGTGGCTCTCGTGCATCTTGGCCAGCTGCTTGCCCAACTCAATGGCTTTCTCCCACATCTGAAATGACATGTGCACAGCTAAATTAAGAGAGGACGTAAAGCACAGAGAAAAAAAAACTCAGGAGGAAGCAGCCAGTCTGTACCATCTGTCGAATAAAAAGAAATCTGAATACATAAGCTAAACCTGTAGCTGCGCAAATATTCTCACAAGTTTCATTGACAATATTTAATTATTTAATGATTGAATTAAAAAGACAGAATTTGGATCATTCAGTTAAAAAAGGGCTTCATAAGTGAGATTATCTATGATCATCTAATTCCAATTTCAAAATGTTGGAAAGCTGATGGAACAAATAAAAAGAGAATAAAAAACCATCCAATTCAAAATAACAAGTATAACAAGTATATAGGAAACAGTTGGCCGTGGGTGGAATAGCTACCAAATTGTATCCAAAATGATCAAAACATTATTCCAAGCTAAAAATTTTACCAAAATATTAGCTCTATAATGTGTACAAAAGGAAAAATATAAAAAATGGCACTGAATTTGAAATATGTTTATTATCTTATTTGATTCTTCTACGTAAACAAAATTTCAAGTATAATTCTGAATTTATAATGCACACAATTCAGAATTGCTTGCACTTTGAACAGATAAATCTAAGACTACTGAATAAAACTGCTAATGTTTAAGAAGTCCCCATTTCTATTAGGGAAATTGAGAGCAGTAAAGGCAGCAGTAAAAACAACAGCATAGTCAAAATGTCAACAGTTTCTTATTTTCCTTCTCTGGAGAAACACTTTCAAAATGGATGTTGGAAAGCTGGTCCCAGGTGAAGTGTGTGTTAATGCTGTACATTTGTGTTTTCAGGACTTCATGTTTGCAGCCTGAAGGTGAGCCACTACTGCTCTCCTCTACTCTCTGGAGTGGAGAGATATGTGGAATGGAAACCGCTTTGACCACAGGGATAAATTTTATAGAGAATGTATTTTACAATTTTATACAGGGCATGTTTGACTTACTTATGTGCCCAGAGTTTGTTCTGCAAATATTTTTTTCATAAATACAGCTAACGGGGTATAAATGGTATAGTTGCTGGTATTATTCTTACTTATTGGGTAATATGAAGCCGACTATAGCTGTAAAAAAAAAATGCTATATGGAGGAATAGAAGCAAGTCTGCCATGACAGAGGAGATCCATTACTTTCTAGCTGGGAGTAAACTTTTACCTTGCCCTTGTCCAAATAACATATGATCTCCTGGAAAAGCCTTTCTTTGAGCTCCTGTTGGGTCCACTGATGTTGTCCACGTGGTATCAGATGAGGGGCACAGGGTTTGTCCGACCACTGGCAGAAAAATTCAACTTTGAGACACAGTTTTGAAGAATGGTGCAATAAAGTCATAAAAGCTTAAAACTGTAGATTTTCTCTCTGGTACCTCAAGTAATTCAGCATGTAGCAGCAGAGTGTATGCCGCCTCTGTGTAGTTCTCACAGTCCAAGTGCAGGTCCCGCAGTTTGTACAAATACCTAGTAAACAATGGATTGGATAGTGATTATTAACCAAATGTAACTATTATAATGTAATTTTATTGCATTAAACATCACGAGTATCTAGAGCTCAAACTATATATTGCTAACCACAACACAGTAAAAAGAGTCTTCATACGGGTGTGTACAAATGTAATACTAAAAAGATGTAACATATATCAAAATGTGTAATCCATAAAGTAGAAAATGCCCAATTTGTTACCATCCATTTCCTGGATACAATTTAATGCATAATGGTGGTGTGACTTACCGAATGTAAATGTCCTCTCTTTTCTTTTCTTTGTAAAAATTCTGAGAGACACAATGCACTGATTAATAATACAATCTAAAATATACTTCTACACACGATACACAGAGGCCAGGTTTGTGGTAAATGCAGACACAGCGTACCAGCACATTGACAGTGCAGCTCATGCGGTGCTCAGGGCTTTCATCATGTGTGATGGTGCGGTACGCCAGGAGGTTCTCCAACAGACTGCTGAGCAGCAGAGCCAGCTCCTCTCCCGACTGTGACAGGTATCTGTGGCGTCTGCAATACTCCAGCAGCCTGAGCACACAAGAGCAGCGTCTCTTTTACTGACAACATTAAAAACTGATTATCATTTTGGAGTTTCACTTTACGCTTCTGAATGATACAGTTTATTGATTGAGCTTTTCACACAATCCTAACAAACCATCTGTGTGAAGCAGTGTCCTTAAGGACTAACACACAGAATGTCCTGAATTCATATGGCCAATACACAGAGTGAATGCCTTAATACAAAGCAGTGAACTGTAACATTGTTCTTTTACAACTACAGTACTTTGGAGACAAGCACTACGTGGCTTACGTTTTTTCCAGCAGGACTTTGTACTGCTCATCCCCTCGGCCTCCTTCTACCTCTTGATCCAATTTTGTTATCAGTTCATTCTCAAACTGCAAAGATAAGAGAAGAATTAAAGCATAATATCAAACACATCACAGATGTCACATTTAGCCAGCAGCTACTCAAGTTGAGTTGAAACAAATTCACAAAGTGTTAGTAAAGAAGGCAGGAAGTACCTTTTCAAAAGTGCGTCCTGGGCTGAAGTTGTGCTCACACTGCATCATATCAAAAAAGATTGGAATAGTGTCTTTCCTGAGCTCTGGCTCTGACACCAGAGTGACCTGCAGGATGGGCCCGACCATGGCTGGAATAAACTTAATTTTGTTTTGGCCTGAGGAAACATAAAACATAATGCACTGAAATAGTGTTGCATGACTTCAGAAAGCAATAAACTCTTTCTTCTTCTCTCAACATACAACAAACAAATTTAATAAAGTGGCAAGCAAAAAACAACAGCATGGTGAAACCGACCAATAAAAAAATGCCTTGCTCTTTCTCTGCGACACTTGTATGAATAAAATATGCAATTTCACAAACTCTGTGTGAATAATCGTCCGTTATATTCAGATGGCACTCACCAAGATTATTCCACATCTCTTTTATTTTAAAGCCCATAATCTTCCTCATGTCTCCATATCTGAAACAAATTCAAATTATAGCACCATTCGATTGAGTGTCTACCTAAATACATTTTATGGATATGTACAAAGGACTGCTCACTTGTTCACTATCTTGGTTCTTTTCTCCTGGGAAAATGTCTCCAATTGCAGTGTCTTATGTGTGATGAAAGCCACGGTCAAAAGAAAGTAGTTATCCCACAGCTGTGAATAGGGGATGAAATATTAATATCATAATTACCTTCTCATAACATTGGCTTTTGAGTACCCTCTTTTGTGAGAATAACCTCTGCGGAGACAGGGAAGGACCAGACTTACCTGTTTGTTAAAGTGGGTCGGGTCAAGGAAAAACTTATTGAGCACATCTGAATACTGGATAATGGCTCTGAGAAACACCTGCATCTGCACCAGGTTCATGACCATCCAGTCTGCAGGGAACACATTGCCCATGAGGTCCATGAACATGTGGAAGGTCTCCATGAGAAAATCCTGGAGGCAAAAACAACATTAAGCCACTGCAACATTAAAAATACATAGCAGTGATAACAATAATGCATGTTTAATAAGTCTGCATTGCAAGTACCACCAGCCTTAAATATGAAGCCTACGGCGTGATGGTTTCAAAAGTCCTAAAATTGCATCCATAACAAGAGGACCTAAGTTTAGCCTAATTATTTAGACTAAGTTGCTCAAATTTAAGATGCATTGTGTAACTTCTTTAGTGGAGGGCCCTTCAAATGGTTTTCTTAATGGAGAACTGTGTTGTCTGGAATGGCTCACAGTATGGTATTAAACCTTTATTATCGTGCACACTAAACCAGACCAAGTTACAGGTCAAATCTGTGGAGAGGCGACTCCGCTCAAAGTCAGGATGGATTTTTTTTTTTGTTTGTTTGGGGGTTTTTTTAGGTATTTTTGAGCTATAAAACCACCTGTAATTGACATTAACCTGCTCTACCTTACATTTATTGATACTGTGGTACATTCCAGGCAGAACAATGACATATTCATAGAAACACATAGGTGACAAACACCCAACCAAAAAGTGACATAGTGCACCTTTAATGCTTGTCCATTCCTACGTAGAAGTATGACCAACCAAGAACAAGATTTTCAATTCACTTTCCCTGTTATCAGATTTATGCCATGTCTGATTGATGGGTGTTTCAAAATATTAATGGCAGACAAAAACGTGTTTCTCCTTAACAAGTGTCTAAGAAAATATCAAGGAAAAAAAAATGGTGTGAGATACCAATTTTACTGATCTAGTTCTTTTGTAAAAAAAACACACACACATCAAGTTTCTTTAAAAAGCTATCAAACATTCATTAATATGCTCTCACAAAGTATGGGTCACAAAGCCTTAGCCATACATTTCCATCTTTGAAAATGTAGAACTTTTTGTACCCTATAAATATTTACAGAAGTTTAAGAAAAAAATAAATAATTTCTCTGTACTTCTCAAGCCTGAAAAACACACACCGGCACCAGACCTAAAGGTGCATTTATGCTTTCTTTTCCCACATTACTTATGGTCTGCTCACCAGCTGTATGACACCTTCAGTAAATTCTGAAAACCAAAACCAGTTAGTGTGACTACATTACAGTGAGCCTAAAATATCTCTCCTGGCTCACAGTCACCAAGTAAAATAGCTTTAAAATTTTGCTTCTTGGACTGAAATCTACACTCAGCTAAACATGGAGGGACAGATATGACATGCCATTAGAACCCATTGGATGCAAGAAGATAATACTTCATAATACTTAGCTCCTATGTTACATAAAATTAACTCTTGTGAATTTTAAGCCATGTTAAAATGTTGCTACCTCCTCAAAAACACACCTGGAGTTGTGTTTTGTTTCATTCACACACGTTTGAGTAACCCTTCATTTTTAGCCTGTCTACATCTCCACAGTATACAGTTCCAGGTATGATTTTGATGAGGAAAGAACATCATAACATAGATCAGTAAAAAGTGTAATATGGGCCCTTTAAACTACATAACTGTTTGTAATCATGATATACAGTGTAATGGTTGAATGAATGGGAATAAGGCAATTTATAACATTATTTAATATCAGTTTATTTTGATATCCCCTCTGAACCAATATAGCTTCTAAAAGTCTGCCTTAAGAAAATAAAACATATTCAGGGAAGGTGGACAAAGTGTCTTTCTCAAATACACAAAGACACTAAATCTTGCTGATGAGAATAAAAGCATCAAGTTCTAAAACAGATACAAGGAATTTACTAGAGCACTGATAGCGACATGCCTGGATACCTAATCTCCTCATACTTTCTAATGGAGAGTCCCACTAACATCCTCATTATGTTTGCCCAATCCAGCGCATGAAATGTCTATAATCAATATTCTGTAAGGAGCTGTAAGTGGCTCGGCTGGTTTAATGTCCGTTATGGATGAGATGTTTCAGGACAAAATGAGGCAGCAAAAGGAATCACTTACAATAATATCTAGTCTGGTCTTGAAGGTGCTGATGTAGTGGGCGTAGTGCATGTCGTCCATTTGCTTCAAGATCGCCGTCATGCAAGCTAAATAGTGACCCTGGAAAAAGACATATGCTTCATTAGTTCAGAATGGGCCAAAAGCCCTTTTAGGACGCATATTAGAATAAAAAATAGCAGCATTTCTGATCTGTATGGTGATTTCCATTGTCAAATAATATCTGTATGTAAAATAGAGCCAGACCGATATGGATTTTTGTGAAACCGATCTTAAAAATAAAAAAATAAAAAATTCACTGCTTTGTATGAGTTATACAAGTTTAATAATCATGTAAACTTTCACCTTTTTCCAAAAGGTTTTATTGGTAACAATCAGGTGCAATGTTTTTTTTAGCATATTGTAACAACTTTAACCAGAACATAATAATTGAATAATGTTGTTCAATAACCATAATAATAATCTTTGAAAACAAAATAACAAAAAATAAATATCTCTATATAAAATAAAAGGCAGAGAAATAACTGCACTTGTTTCTGCTTCATTAATGTCCAGTTTGTACAGTTTCACTCAGCTCCAACCTCCGACCAAATTCCCAAACTCAAGTGACCTGAATGCGCGAATGAAGCAAATGACTCAAAAAAGTAAAGCAGCAAAATAGGGGCATTTGACGTGATTTATTTCCGCCATGTGCGTTTGGTTTGAACACGGCTTTACAGGGCTGTAATAGAGGAAAAAGAAAAATTTTAAATATTGGCACTGATCGGCGGAATTTCGACCAATAGCTGATATAACCCCAGACCCTGATATTGACCGATAATATCTGCCAGTCGATATATCGGTCAGGCTCTAATGTAAAGGTGCAATGCGTAACCTAACACCTGCCTGCGTGTTATTTGCCTGGAAAGTTCCTGCTATCGATAAAAACAAAAAGTTTTTCCTTCTTTCTCCTAATAATCATTTTAGCAGATGCCTGCAATTGTTTTAACTAACTATGAAACTTTCCAGGGAAAGTAATAATATCTCCATGGAGACAAGCAAGGGGAAAGCAGCAATATTGAAACCTGAAAATCACTTGCTACAATTCCAACTGCACTTATCACTGCAGCTACAAAACATACCTGACAGATGACCAAGTTCAGTAGTGCTTTTTTTTATATTTCTGTACAAGTCACATATTTTAATTGTGACCTTATTTCTCATGAACTGTTATAAACATCTCTGTTTTAACACCTCTTTGCACACTGTTCTGTTGTTAACAAAATACTTTTTGTGTTGCCAATGTTAATATTGTAATTTTGACACTTTTCACACCAGTTCTGTGTTTTATATGTATTAAGATTGACGATGTTAGCCTCCATCTCACTGTACCACATATTGGTAATGTTATTAATATGAAAATGAATGCAGCGGGTGAAAGCTGTCAAGGGCATTTCTGAGTTGAAAAGTGACTTACAATGAGTGGGGAGGATCTGTCCATGCCAATGACTGTACGGTTAACCCTGCGCAGAAGTCGATCCATTATTAGCTGAACATGCCCTCTGGTGGAACCCTTCAAACAGACGTAAATGAGACACAAATGACTCAAGATCATTGGAGAGCAGAGGTGTGGCATACAACATCAGGCAGATAAAAAGCATATGAAATCTATCTTTGAATAAATAACTCAAGAAAAATAGTAAACAAAAAGGAACAAGGGCTCTCAATCCTCTGGCAGGGCATTGATCTCATCTTGAATTGTAATTACTGTGACCACACATAGACTTGGCCTTAGAATCTTGTAATAAAATAAGGTAGCTACTTCATATCTTGAACCACAAAATCTTAAGTTGTGACAATAACAAATTGACTGAAATATAGAATAGTAGGTAATACTTGATACAGAATCCTCAATTTTACTCTTGTTTCCTCTGACCATCAAATAGTGTTGTGGCTAAAAATACCTTATCAAAGTCTGATCTCGTCAGATCGCAGAGACTAAGGAGGACTAGGTTTGGTTAGTACTTGGATGTGAGACCGCTGGAAATACCAGGTGCCACAGTGAGCCACCAGTGGTAGTGGTGGTTGTGTCCTTAAACAAGATACTTCACACACATTGCCTAGTAAGAATGTGGTGTATTGGTAGTGATTGGAGGGGCCAATGGTGCATATTGGAAGGCTCACTTCTGTTAGTATAGGGTGAATTAATAATTCACAAAATTGTACCACGACTTTGAGCATTTGGAACAGCTCTATATAAGACTAATGCATTATTAAATAAAATATTGGGAGAATGGGATTGGTAATAACAAAGAAGAGCTAAAAGAACTAAAATATGTACAAGAAAAAAGCAATAGTTGTCTGTCTGTGTGTGCATCCTTACTGTCATCCCTATGACTAACTTGGCAATGTCCAGGTTGATGATGTATGCACCTAAAGCTTAAAATTGCTCCAGTCTGCCATAACCCCATTAAGCTTTGCTGCTGTGTGACTGGAGTTAGTATCTGTGACTCCATCTTGCAATCCACACCCAAAATGAATCAAATCCTTCTCCCGCAATTCCAATTATGGTCCTTTCCTAAAAATGTCATCATTTACAAATATTATTTGAGTTTTCTTGCAAAGGTGATGAGATTTTTGAGCTGCATTAACTTCTTCGATGATAGAAGATTTCTACTAAAACTAAATACATCTTAAATTCTACTAGCAGCATCACATTTATGTAGTCAAGGTTATGTATTACTTTGTAAAGAACAGTGCTGTATTGATGAATGTGAAATGAGAATATGCCAATACTGGTCAAGAGATGTGCTTAAATGTTTTAATGGAAACATAAGTTTAGAACACAGGGAGGTTAACCGAGGTCAACTTCCAATGATGCACATCTTCATCGATTAACACAAGGCGAGAGATGTGTCTATTGCCATTGGCAAACAAAAGTAAAATTATAATTCTCTCATACCATGAGTATGCTAACTTCATGTAGCAATATTTGCATAGTCTTAAGTATATCAACAAATAAACTACTTAAGTTATTAGCTATTAAAATGAAAATTAAGTTATTGCAATTTACACCCTCACTGCACTAATGAATCACACTTTTGAAAGACTGCTATAGGTGTCTAAATCTATACACCAAACCTCAATCAGGGAAATGTTAATTAAATTGGATTAAAATAACAAGATTACTTTTAGAGTGCTGAGTTCTAGTCAATGTTTTTGTGGATGTGTGCCAAGCTATCCCTGAACATCTTTTTTTATCCGAGTCCAGATAAAAGGCAGATGTGATCTAAAGGCTTTTTATCACTTTGTATTTTAAAGAGAAAAGAACGTTTTAATTTTCCCATGACACAGTTTTTGCCAGAACCTCACCACATCTTTGCGGTCTAAGTTGTCCAGCACGGTACTGAGTAGCTGGACACAGGCTTCATAGTCCGGTTTACACGAGTAGTCGTCCAGTTGTCCACTCAACTGGTCCGTCACCAGAGGCAGTAGCACATCTCTACAGTCTGTAGTAAAAAGAAAATAAAGAAATGTTACTCTTTTGATTGGCTGATTATATTTATTTTGATACCAGCACAACAATAGAAAAATGCTAAATATAATGGGAAAAGAAAAAAAGAATGTGTCAACATGTTTGAGAAGGAAAATAATTAAAATTTGATTTAATCCCCATTTATTTTCATAACACACATGATATTTTCTAGAAAGACCATACATGGTATGTTCAAAACACAATCTGCCACTGTTATAATATTATCAATAAGAACAATCATTTCACTACAGAATTTGATACAGTGTGCATAATAAAAATAGCACTACCAATTACCATAATCAACAAAGTAGAGTGTAGTTCCATTCCTCCAGTTTTTCTGCTCTGTACCTAGTCGTAGTACCTAGGTATGGACTCTTGCCAAAGTTACAGAATTCTATAAGCTAAAATCTATTGCTACAACTCTCAGCATTTCAAGGGCAGGCCATAGTATCAATCATAAAGAAATATCGAGCTACTGTAAATGAAGAACTAACTATTACCATACCATCTTACAATTCTCACAATTATTGTCAGCACTTTAAATGCCCACTTTCATTTCATTGGATTAGAAGGAAAGTATATGGTCGCTTTCCAACACAGTGAAAGAGAGGCATATAAAAAGGTCACTGTAGCACACAGAGCCTGTTTTGTTAATGCAGCCGACCAGACAAAGTTGCGTCTAAGTGTGATGTGGACAGGAGTTTCCGCTGGCTCTCATGTGGAATGGCATTATGCGTTCTTAAGACTCTTGAGAAGCTCCTACCTGGCTGCTTGAAAAGGTCACTCTCCACCATTTTGCACATGCAGCCCAGCTTCTGACGCACAAGCTGCAAGTCAGGAATGCTTTCAATGAATTTTGATAGGAGAACACTGTGGAAGAAAAACACCACAGTTATTTACCATACGTTTTGCGGGTGGTAATTATCACTGAGTAGGACTAATAGGCAACGTAGCAAGGGACGAGAATAGAACCCAAATTAGCCAGAAGTAAATATGATGTTTACGACAAGACAGGCAATTATCCTTTCTTGGTGAGCGCACTCTGGGGAGTTACCTGAGCTCCACAGGATCAAAAACCGTCTGGATGTCGTTAATGATGGTGGGAAGGTATTTCAATATTGCCCCCTGAAAGTACAACAACAGAATAAGTATCATCAGTTAAAACCACAGGAGGCAACTCAGTCACCGGGGAGGTTGGTAAAACATCTTTTTAGCAAAAAAAATAAATTATTCACTCTGTGAGACTGCCAGCCTGCACAGGCATTCCCTTCAGAATCCAACGGTAACTAGACAGATGTGATGAAATAGAGGTTAAACTGTTCAATTCAAATAGTAGCTGCTATCGAGAACTCAGGACCACACAAGACTGTCTGAGTTCAAGATATTTTTCTGGTATCCAATCTCTTTTTCTCCCAATTAGAAGTGAGAAAACTGCACAAATGCTGCCATCGTGCTCACAAGTTTAAAACAATGGGGGACCAGGCAACAGCGAGCAGCAGGAGAGCTTAATGTGGGTCTACTGTGGACATATGGATGCTTGTTATTTTCTAGTAATTATATGTATAGAAAAATAAATAAAAAAGATTGTCTCTCTATTACTATTACTGCCAAGTGTTGGGTTTGTGTTCCAAATTATGTTGTTTAAAGGAACTTAATTAAGTTGCTGTAGTACATTACTGTTATAGTCAGGGGCAGATATGATGGATAATACCTAAAAATAAGCCAAAAATACAGGCGTCCTTTCATCTGCAATTCTTAGGGTGATGGAGATGCCACATGACACATTAACACATTTTTAGACTGACCTTTATTTTGACTCCTTCGTCCAGTGGTCTGTCCATCAGAGTGTTGAAGGAGAGGAACAAGCTGCGAATGGAGTTGAAAAAAGCATCTCCGTCTTCACTTTTTCCATAAAATCTGCAAGAAAACAAAAAGAACAGGGACACTGAACCATGTTTTTTAAAGCAGACATTTTGAGCAATTTTCTAAGATAGATATTTAAATACTAGATTTATATGAAATGTAAGCTATGATCACGTCAATCAATTACACAATTACTTACTTGAAATTACCTAATCTATCTATCCATCTATCTATCCAGTCTTACAACCTGTGGTTACAACAGCAGCACATTCAAAATGGAACCAAAAAGCACTGTTCCAAAGTAATACAATTTAATTTTGCAAACTACTGACACAAAACATTCAAGTATGATTCAAGGACAATTCTCTATGCAGTAGTTTTTGTATTGACACTGTTACCTTAGATAGAGGACCCGGGACTGCACAATGAATCTGAACAAGTACTTCAGTGCTTTGAGTGCAGAGTAGAGCCTCTCTGTTAGAACAGGCTCCTCTGCATGGCTCACATAGTGGTTAAGCACCCCAGTTAGCTTCCTGAAAAAGTCATTGAGTCAGGCATCAAGGTCTGTCAGTGTAGGAGGCATGGGGAGAGCAAAAATGTGCTAAAAATAAAGCGTCATGAAAGCCTGTTTGCCATCAAAGGTATAAAAAGTCTGTGGGGCACTCACATGTACGCCAAAGTGGCACTGAAATGCTTGTTGATGTAGGTTTCCAGGACCGGGTTGAAATGCTGGAACTTAATGTCGCCAATAAGTGTGATTATAAAGACCTGGAATAAAAACACACATCATAACTAAGTTGAACTGTGCGACTTTTGCTTTCAAGTTTAGAGAGCTGAACTTAATTAGGAGTGTTCGTCAGTGAGTGTATATTTACAAGGTTAAAAGTTGTACCAAGGCACTTAAAGAAGTATAAACAGAAAATAATGGTTTAAGGATTATTTTTCATTCAAGCATTAAAAAATACAAAGTCAGTCAGGCACAGTAACAAGATAAAAACTAACCAGGGCATTGAACACCAGTGTGTCATACGTGTCTTTTTCTGAGGTTTCCATCATGATGTTAAATAAGGCATCAAGGGTATCCTGGAGAAACTGAAAATAAAATAAAATGCTTAAAAACATTCAAGGGGGGCAACTTCACCTTACATACATAAATATTTACAGTATATACCATATTTATTAATCAGAAACAGAATCAATGATGATTGATATATATATATATATAGATATATATATATAGATATAGATATAGATATATAGTGGCTTTAAAAAGTAATATATTTACTTTGACAATCTCGCCTCCTTCCACCTCCATCAGTCTCTGCAAGTTCTGCTCCAGGTCTTCAGGATTTGACCTCCAGTTCAACAGGCCGAGAAGATCGACTGAAGACAAATCATCATACATCATACAATGTGTAGCAAAATCAGTGGCTATAGACAAAATACAGATTAATGTGTTCTTGGATAATGTATGTATATATATGTATGTATATACACACACACACACACACACACCACCACCCACAGATACAGACACACAGACATTACATATATACATATATATATATATATATATATATATATATATATATATATATATATACACACACACACACATATATATATATATATATATATATATACACACTATACACTATATATTACATATATAGTTTTTGCAAAGCACATTAACACTTGCACCTCCCATTTATTCAGAGAAGGCAATTTAGTTCTACTGATTTTACTGTAAATGCATGTCTTTGGATAAAATATGGAAATATAAATGGCTTCAAAATTTTGGCTTTGTCAAAACGCTCCTATAATTTTTTATGTAACCTGTGCTCCAATCATCACTGAACCTGCGTTGCCAGTGCCTTAACCTGCATATAGAAGACAAGTTGTTTTTTTTTTCAGTGTTTTCAACAACATTCTCTGGCTAGTGTAACCCTTAAATTTAAAAAAATCAACACAGTCCCACTTTCAATGATGAGAAATGAGAAAGCTAAAATACATTTTGTGAAATATTAAAATGTTTTTGTTTTTTTTTCCTTTTACTTACTTTAACTTTATATACTTTGCAATGTGATCTAATCTATAGCTGTCAACCAGTTTCATGTAACATTAATCAATAAGTAATTTATAAAAAAAAAAATGCATAGTTGCACAGTGAATATTTTGGTTTTACAAAAAGATGTCCCCATTTTTATGCAGCTCTGCAAGTTACAAGCTTAAGGATTATATGATGTAAACGGTGCTAAAACGTTACCATTCTGAGTGAGTTTAGTGGAGCAGGTGAGAGTCGCGATCTGGAAGCTGTCTTTAGTGACTGGAATGGCTCCTGTGTGGTGAAACTGCTTCCCCGTCTGCCTCTCCCTCTCCTCCACCTCAGCCCATGTCGCTGGCAAGCCCAGATAAACCTTAGCATCCTCAGACTTTTTGCCATCAACCTGGGGAAATTCATAATAGAGGCAATGGATGGTGTACTGCATCGATTGTGGTAGATCTAATTTCATATTTATTGATTTAAGGAGAGATTCATGCATAATCCATCTACCTGCTGTCAGCTACTCAAGACAAAGATTTCTGCGTAATTGAATGAGTGCAATAAACATTTCCTACTTCATATAAAAATGAATGCGGTGAATTACATTTTGCACAACAGAAAATGCCACAAAATTGTGCATTACCTTATAGACAATAAGTTCATGCCTGCCATCTTTCAGAGTGGTCCCATCCGTTCGCATAAGCTTCACAAAGGCCATTCCAAAGGGCTTTTCGGATTTGTCTCGAGCTGAAGGGTGCACAAGAAGAAAAACATGCAAGATGTAACAGTCACTTTCACTCAGTTTAAGATACCAAGCCTGGGTGTTGGTGTACAGTGTGGTAACAAATTTTGGTTGTGAAAAAAGAGGTATAATGATGTACAAAGGTTGTGAACAAGTATAAAGACTTCTACCAGGGCAATATTTCCACCTTTCCAATGTGTCCAGACCAAGAAGTACATACTATAAAGGGACAAGGGTGAAGTCCATATCTTTCCATACCAGTGGTGACATTGATGTATTATCATAATTATGTGTAATAAGTGTTATGCAAGAACAATTTATTTTTGCTCCACTCAAAATTTTAATCATGCTGTGCTTAAAAACAAAGTAGAATGTGCGGCAACTAGGATTATAATATCTGCAAAGGTGCAGGTCTGTGGACAGTTTCGGAAATCACTCCTGGGTACAAAAAGCAATCAATTAACACAAAAATAATATATTTTTTGTCCAATTACCAATGACTCCTGGTATTTTATTTTTAACAAAAGCAAAAGGCACTTGCAAACAGACTGTGCATATTTTAGTAAAAGGTGCAAAACTAATAAAATTCTGAAATCACTTACAGTCCTGGGAGGAGCGGTGCCGAAACATCACTCTGAGATGGCAGCGGCATACATCTTCAATGGGGATGGTCACCTTGCAAGGATATAAAAGTCAAGGAAATGGAGGATTATGGTACAAATGAAAAGCAATGTTATCTGTGGCGGTAGCACACATCCTCCCCTGGTATCTCTCCCCCAAAGATGACTTTATTACACCAAGCTATTGTAAATCCATACAAAAATCTAATTGGACAACAATGGGATCATATTTAAAGGCAAACATACCTTCACAGTTTCATTCCAGCATGGTTGCTTCACCTGATAGTAAATAACCGACTTGTACTCTGATATGCCGTCATAACCTGCTCCTGGAAATATTGCTTTCTTAAAAAAAAAAAAAAAATGAAGACAGAAAGAAAAGTCATTATTTTATAATGATGAGAGCCAGATCAGTTTCATTTCTGGTGTAACGTTTAGAGAAAAGATGACTAGGTGAGTACAGAGGTAGGTAAATAAATAGGAGAAATGTGGCTATTTCACCTCCATTGGATTGCCATCATCATCATGTACACTCAGTATGACCTCTACATTTTTAGGGGTCTTCTTTTTGCCTCTGTCGAACTCTCCCTGCACCAGTGTCACATAGAAATCATTCCTCACATTTCCTAAACAAAAGATAGCAAAGACAGCTGATGAGATAGTCATTTAGGTTAATACAATTATATATGCACAGTCCTATTTCAGATGAATACGCAACCTTAGCTCCAATTGGTGATATCCATGCTTGTTCTGATAGAAAGGTGCCACAGTGCAGACAAGCTAAGCACACGGTTGCACCTTAGGCATGTGGTCAGAACAGATCTATGACTACGGAGCAGTGGTAATACTCTTCGCAGATGCACATAAATTGTTTTAAGATACTAAATTATGCATTGCTTTATTTCAAATGAGACACTGGTGGTTATAATAGTAATCTTTTGTAAGTGTTACAAACTACAGAGCCTTGAAATAAGAGAATGGTTGTCAGAAGTAACAAAAATCTGACATTAATTGACAATAAAACTAGAAGCAAAAGTAGATACTCATTTGAATCAGCATCAGTCCCCCAAAAAATAGGACATTTCAACTATACTATGACATGATATATGATATGATATGATAACAACAAGCAAAATGTTTATCGTAATAATAAATTTAAAAACGTGGTAAAAATAGCAAGAAAGAGGTGTCAAATAAGGTATAATTACACAATTGTATATGTACAAGTAAGAATAAAATATAGAAATTTTGTAATACAAAATATATCTGTCCTATATACAAGAGGTGGTAAAGGAGAAACAGTGCAGAGATGAAATTGTGATGTCTAAATAAGCATAATTGTGGTAATGAAATTGGTATCAAGCCTTTTCTTTAAGATCAAAATAGAGTTTGAAATATTAGTATTGTACAGACAGTAGTTAAAATATTTCCCTCGGGTGTTTACCAGATGTAACATTTTCCCCATCGTCTAACGCTTGTATATATATTTGCTGAGCAGAATGAGTGATCTTAGTTTAACCCACCGGGAAGGATGATTTCTGGAAAGCCCATCTTCCTCACTATAGCTGTGCTGCGGTCCACAAAGTGAGGGTAGTCCTTCCTGACCTGGGCCAGATCTCCCGGGAGCAGCTTGAGGGTCACAAACAGTCCTGCCAGCAAACATGTAAAGAAATCCAATGAGCCAGACGCTGCAAAGGCTATACACCCTGTGGACCCTTACACACATCATTTATTCTGCTCAAAACAAAAAGGTCAAATTAGAGTCGGCCCGGCTGAAATCACAGGGGATGCTAGCTGTCTGTGAGCACTTCATTTTACCCTGGCCTTTGTGATTGACCTCCCGCGTGGCGATGACTTTGTTGAAGACGGCAGTGAGCGGCTCATTCTCCCCTATAACCCGTGAAGGAATGAGTGGGGACATAATGAGCTGCCTCTGACGAATGTAGGTTTCCATCGCGATCCTGAGAGGGAAAAGAAGGGATAGAGAGAAAGTATAATTCAGCTGCCAACTCCTCTGACAGGTGACAAACAAATGGGCCGAGAAAGGCAAAAAGGCACCAAGAAATGCTTTATGGATGTTCTGGCACGTCATAGTTACGATGTGCATCTGCTTATGTCTAAACTGAATACAAGGGAGTCATGTTTGAAGACTTCAAGTTCCCAGCTGGCAGTTTTAAGTAAGTTTCAATCTGGGTATCATTTTAGAATAACTCAGCACAAAATGTATTGTCAAATGACAGTGGAAAAGATTCCCCCTTTTTTGTTTTTGTTTTACACGTATATCACATTATCTTCACAATCCTTTAATGAATTAATAGAGGGCTCGAACGAATACTGATGTTTCAAATGTATTACTGATTTACAGACCATTCCTCAAGTATTAAATATTAAAGTTTTTTGTGACTTTTTGTTAAATGTTAAAATATTAATTTGTCCTTTTAAAATTATTCAAACTGTGCATTGCAGGAAAGTTTGGTTGTAGTCCAGTCAAGTGATTCTATGTTTCAGTCACTGCAGTCACCAAATTATATAACACTTTTCCTTAATTTTAGGCCCAATTCTTTTTCTTTTCTTCTTCGGAAAACTCAATTTGGATGACCTTTTCTATTAATTTGTATAATTATCCAGTTCATGATTGCCTGTGGAAAATCATTCTCAGTGACTTAATTGAGTTCAAATGCATTTGGCAAGATTGAAAAGCTGAACAAGATTTTTCCACTCATGTCTTGAACACTTATGCTATTCCCACAATAATCATGGTCGAAAAACATTACCAAGTGAGATATTTTAAAAAGGGTTCATTAAACAAGACACAAAAACATGACAGGAATTTTGTAAAAAAAATATTTGCAACATCCCACTTTGGAGAATTACTACCTTCTGGGCAAAAGCGGGCTGTCACAGTAAAATGTCAAGCACTGAAAACTACAAGTTGGATTCTTTTTAAATGTGGCCTCCATGACAAGAATATCCCAAGTTTTTGGGGGTGTCTGCTGCTTAGGTTTTAAGGTTTCTAAAAATAGATTACAACCTCCTCTCGCAGAGTGTAAGGCAGTATAGACTATTATATATACTGAAAATGATTGAAAAAGAGAAAAATCTTGACTATTTGTCCTTGAAAACAAAACACTGGTAACATCAGGAAATATGTGATGGAGCACAGTGACAAATGTTCAGCTCTTTTTATACTCTCACTATTGGTTCACTGCAATAAGATTTTACTGTTAATTATGTTAAGTGAGACTATATCAAAAGACTCACTGTTGAAAGGGGATGAAATGCTGTTTGTCTTCATCATCATTTTTACCATGGGCGATTTCTGTTATGTCCATTACTGTAACACACATATAAAAATAGTTAATCCTATGATACACCTTTGTTGCTGTGTATAAAAATATCACAAGGGCTGAACTCAAAGAAGGTGAGCCAGGTGTTAAATGCCACTTACCTGTTGCTTGGCACAACACAGTGAGACACACTGGGAGTTTGACATTTTTCTTTTTTAACAGAATTAAAAATATCCACTCTAGGCACATAAAAAGGCTCTCCTTGTACAAGAATAATGAATGTTAATTTCACTTTACTTTTCCCGAGATCTCCACCGTATGACATTAAATCTGTCTATCCAGCATTTATTTCATTATGGGACATTTTACTGCTGTAATACTGTAGAAAAAAGAAAAATATTATGACTGGGCAGGTGCTCCATATATCTGACTTAATGGTATTCTCTTTACAGTCACACCGTGCACCTTCAATGCGGTCAGTGCCAATGTGGATAGAAAAGGCCTCAGTGCAGTAATCTGGCGATAATATTATGCCTGATCGCTGCCAGGTGTTGGAGGCCATTTACCTGTTGCTTGGCACCACAAAGCAAAACCAACTGAATGCATTTTTCATCTCACACATGATAAAACATTTCTACACCACTACTCCGCCTTTAAGTGTTTTGATTCCAGCCATAAAATTATTTAAAAAGTTGGTTTCAGTCAATTTACCCAAAACCATATTTCAGTAGCGCCATACATGAGCTACCGTACTTATAAGTGCTTAAACTTTGACTAAGTTTCAAATAATGTGCACCTACTATATAGTCTGGAGATCTGGAGATCAATAAAATTCACAGTCTCACTGAGTTAGAAGAGTCATTCAAAGTCTTTGAAAATATGCAGCAATGTACCAGCAGACCTAAAAGTGACTTAAAAAACAAACACACACACAGACTATATAGGACTGATAGATTGGCAAACCATACAATATTGTCTCTTTCTGAAATGGTGTCCCCAAATCCTACTAGGAAATAGAGGTGAGGACAGTTTTAAAAGTTATTTTGCCAATGCACAAAACTGGGAATTTCTAGGTCAGGAAGCAGCTGTTCCAATTTCCTTCAGCACATGTGTTTGTCATTTTTACACCTTTTTACAAATGCATGACAAAACTCTTGCCACAGAAAGGAGTGTCAGAATGTGGCGACTGAGCTGAATTCAAGATGAAGTGCTTAAACAAATATTAGCTCACCCGCCACACCAAATGGCCTCCGCAGTCCTCCGGTGCATTTCTTGCCCTCTTTGAGTTCCATGCTGCCGACTCTAATGATCTGACACACTAGAAAGAGCCGTAGCCTCATCAAGTCACTACTGCTCAAGTCCTGGAAACACACAAAAGTGATTTATTATGGCAAATTAAGGGTGATATGCAACAATACATAGAAGAAATGAACAGTGTAAATAATTGGGCTCCATTCATGCACCATGAAAGATGAGAAAGAGACTGAAGTGCTTTGAAAAGAGTCACCTCGGCCAAATATGAGAAGGGATCAAAAAGCAAGAGGAGCAAAGTATTCGTTTTATTTCACAAAGGAAAAAATTGCAGAATTGTGCATTATGCGTGAATGTAGTGAGTGGCTGTCCATCAGTGTGTGTTCAAGTTTTAAAGGTCCTATATTACACAAAATTGACTCTTGTGAGATCCAAGTCATTTTAGGACGTTGGTACCTCCTTAATAACATGCCTGGAGCTGTGTATAGTTTCATTCACACATGTTTGAGTAATCCTTTTTATTAGCCTGTCTACACTGCCAAAGCACAAAATACTCTATTCCACCTTGTGATGTCATGAAGCAGTAGTTTTCAAGTTAACAGCCATACCTTTTACTTTTAGTTCAGTAGAGACAGGCAATTCCAGGACTAAAATTATATTAATGAGTGTAGTGAAGGTGTATGGAGTTTAAAAACACTGTAGAGAACTTCCTGTATTACCACATGATATCACAAAGGATATGCAGGCTTTGTATGTTAAACATGTATGAATGAAACAATACACAACTCCAGTATACTACACCAATGTAGAGGTATGTGAATAAGCTGTAATGAATTATAGTAAAAGCTAAATTCCATAGAAATGCAATAACATTTCAATAATGTAATAGATATAATATTTGCAAAAAAGCAATATTATTTAAATAAACAATATCTATTGATGTGAGTTACTGCAACACATTTCAACTCAGTAATTCCTAAAGACACCCTCAGTTTTCAAACAATTGTGTGTTTTCAAAATGATGGTTAACAGCATTATAGCGTCAAATGTATTCAAATTTCCATAAAAGTGCTGTGAATGCCAGTCTTACATTCAAAAGTTCCACTAATTTAACATCCATCCAGGAACAATGTATGCCTTTTGTCACAGGTTTTAGACTTTGTGGATTGTGTAAATCCTAAGCAGAGCACACACAGGGTGTTTGGGATTCAGTTACCGTGAAGAGCGCTGGCAGGTTGTTGAGCTTTTCAATTTCTTTAGGCATTCCCATACTGTCCCAGCGCACCAGGAAGTTCTCGCTGCATGAATTTAAATAAGACCCACAGTTAGATATTACAAATGTGCAAGCATCAAGAAAAATACAAAATGATGGATTTGGAGTTTCACTGCCTAAAAACCAGAAGCACAGAACATACAGCAGTATGCAAAGGTGTGGTAAAATTATGTTAAATAAAACAGGCTGAGAAGACACTGCATTGTTCTCAACTAGTAAGGATAACACTGTTAGTTTCTTATTTTATATATACCATGACACAAACTGATATCATGGCTCAGTGAAAAGAGCATTGAGCACTGAATTAAAAATGTTCAAGTTTGAGACAATGCCTTTATAGGGCTATGCTCTCAAAATAAAAAAATTGTAAAATGTTCACATTTATAAAGCACTTTTCTACCTTTGAGGCATTCAATGCACTTTGTTTTGCCTAAGGACACAACAGCAGTCATCTGTGGAAGTTGGAACCAAATTGCCAAACTGTAGGTCAGTGGCTCTGACCAGTCTACCAACGATGTTTTATGTGGGGGCGGGATTTAAACCGCCAACCTTCAGATCAGAGGACGAGCAATCTACCAACTGAGCTTTCTTATTTTCTAAACTGTTGGATTTAATATAGTCATACATTTCTGCTCATTTAATTTCTTAATAATCTAAAAACATGTCACAGTTCTACAGCACAGTTATTGTAGGCATGATAGACACTCATTACATTGCCATTTAACCCAATAAAACAGGGTTTTATTTAAAACTGCTCATTACAAATATATTTGTTCCTTTGTAAAATTTAGACATTTTATTTTATCTTATTGCATAACAGAAAAGGTTAGGGATTAAGGATTTGTCAAAGGCAAAATATTTTGGGGAAACATCACACATATTCATAGAGAAGCATTTTTAGACATTCTTGCAATTTATGCTGACACATTTTTTGTCAAGTTGAATTCACACCGTCTGTTTTCCTATCCCACTATGCAGAAGCAGCACTGTCTTAATGATGCCTAAAAGAGAAGCCTTCCGGCATGGACTGCTACTATATAAATACACTAATGCTACTTTAACAGCAAAAATACGAGACAGGAATACATGACCAATCATAATAATTACTCTTAATAGCTGTGGTATTGTTCAGAAAGTACACAGGGGCAGTCCTAGTAAGGGACAGATGGGGCAGCAGCATGAGCCCCTTCACCCTGCTGGTCCCCATTTTATTCTTCCCCATTCCTCACTTTTTTTTTCTCCAGGAGGGGGGCTTGCCCGGGGCGCAAAACAGTGTAGGATCGCCACTGAGCACACTGTTACTATTAGGGCTTGAAGTTTCCCTTTGTTTTGGACCAGGCAGTGTAACAGAAGACACAATGAATTAATTACTTAAAAGAGAAGTGACTCATGTATGTCATGGGTGTAGTCTATCATGTAAAATGCAGCTGGTTGCTACAAACAAATCACTGCAGTTTTTTTAAACACCCACAGTCAGCACAAAAGGAATTTACAGCTCAAGTTTATCTGCTGAAGCAAAGGCAACTTTGAATCTTTGAAGTGTGCTGTTTAAAAGGAAGGGGTAATCTTGTTGACCGTGGAGGAGATTATAATCACAATTATGAGTTAACTGCAGATTTGTCCAATAACTGAGAAAAGCACAACTATTTATATTTCTTGGCACAATCCCTTGAAGCTCCAGTCACTTTATATTCAACTGATACCTTTTTTGACTGTCAATTACAGGATGAATTTAAGTAAGGTGGCACTTTGTCCTGAGCCACTGTGCTCTGTAAATTATATTATTACTTTGCAGTGAAATCACAGTTCACACACTCTGATACAGGCTTTGGTCATCCAAGTGAAAATAACATTTAAAAACATTAAAAAAGTTATTTAATCTAAACAAAGTTTTTTTTCTCAAGTATTTAGTCTCCAGTTCAAAAAAGTTTGGTCATAAACGAGTTTAGACAGAAACAAATTTTAGAGAACCAAAACTGACAACAATATCTAAAACATATGAAAAGACACAACAAATGCAACTTGAATTTTAATTTTGGGGTATTTTTCAAAACTTTAAAATAAACTACATCAACTATATGTACTGACCTGATGAACTCTGACTGATCAGGGTCATACAGAGACATGAGGAGTTCGGCGTCTTCTCCGATGTTGCACACAAAGTTCTTCAGATTCATGAGGAGACTGTAGGTGTGCACAGTGCTGAACAGGGTCTGACGTCTGGTCTCAAGGTTCTGTAGCCGGGTCTTATAGAAGCAAATGAAAATAATCAGGTCTTAGAATAGAAATGAAGCTCATGACATGAACACAGGTCGCTGAATGAATATATTTCTGTATTCTAATTGAAATGAGAATATAATTTGCCATCTACTTCATCTGCTGTTCAATATTGTCCTTGCATAGGTCTAATTAATTTATTGACATGTGTCTAAATGTAGCTGTACCTTCTCTTCTTGAATCCTATCATCCACACTTCGTGATGCTGTCTCATGAGCCCGGAAAAGACTGACTGTACTGGTTTGGTCCGGATCCAACATGTTTCCAGCTTCATCTCGTACCACCAAGTCCAAACCCAAAATTCTGTGCAGCACAAAAGATAAAATTGCTTTGCAAAACCACTCAAGACCCCAAATTTAAAGGTGCACTGTGTAACTTTTCTGGTGGAGGGTCTGTCACCCGCTTGTTTCTATGGATATATCATTCTACAGTATGAGATTCTACTTTATATGTATTCAATTATAGGTGTTTTTATAGCTCAAAAATACCTTAAAAAACAGGTATTCTTTTGAGCAGGGTTGCCTCTCCACAGATCTGAGTTGTAACTTGGTCTGTTTTGGTTTAAGATTTTATGTCAAAAAGCATTTGACAGGCCCTCCACACAATGCACCTTTAACAGTGGTCTTTCAATCTGAAAGCATTCCATTGGACAAAACAAGCATCCATACCTGTTCCCATAGTCTATTTTTGCAGTGACTTTCTTCTTGAGCTCCACAAGGTCATCTTTGGGCAGTGTTCCCGACACTATCTGAGATCGATACTCTATGAGGCTGTAGGCCATCTGCTGAACATTCCTGAACAGCGTACTCTTGTTGGCCTGTCCGATAAATAGATACACACACTGTCTTACACACACTTCAAAGGAATCGACCAAATGGGCTCAACAAAAGGGCTCTGTGTTAAGGAGATACTTAAATCTGCCCTGAGTTAGGATGCCAAATCAGGCCATAGCTCAGACACACAGACAAACACATTTCCAGGGTTTTTATATATTACATTGTCCCCAAGAATTCATAAATTTTCTGGAGAGTGATCCTAACCTTAACCATAGTCACTAAATGTGTAATCTTACCCTAACCTTCACTTATTTTAACCCATATTTTAAGTTTAAGACATGTTATTGATTTAATAATAACAATAAGTGACATCCTGGGACATTATTTTTGCCCCCTTGAGGCAGGTGCCAATGACGTGAGTGTGTATACAGATTTTAGTAATCAGAATGTGATAAATACCCACACATTCATCAAAATAGTGACTTATCTAGAGCTAAATTGAAAAAGAATCCTGGACTAGACTAGAACTAGGAGTGAACATAGCCTTGACCTTCACTTTCAGTGTACAGAGGTCTGTGCCATCAGTAGGACCAGAGAACCACTGTGATAGACAGAATAAGCTGTAATACAAACACAAGAGAAGTAAAATGGTTCTCAAGAGATCACTAAATTCAATGCAAGAGACACAATTAATATAAATGCCAAATAGACAACACATCCTTTAAATGCTTAGCACATTAGCCTTGTTTAAACACCAGCAAGTGAGTCTGCATGCCCCATTACTGTGCCTTCTCTGCAAAAAAGTTTACCAGTATAGTCTCCGGTGGAAATGTAGATAACATAAAATAACCGTGTAACCTTTCTGGTGGAGGATCCGGCAAATGCTTTTCTCCATGAAGATGATACTACTTTCTCTGGAATCTTTCACAGTATGGTATAAAACATTTCTATCTTCATGGAAACCAAACCAGATCAAGTTACAGGTCAAATTTTGAGCTATAAAACCACCTGTAATTGAATAAATGTAAGGTAGATCTGTTTAATGTCATACTGTGGAACATTTGAAGAAGAGCAGTGACATGTCCATAGAAACAAGCAGGTGGCGGACCCCCAACCAAAAATGAAAATAGTGCACCTTTAAATAAGCAATCCTTCTTCACACCAGCAGCACGTTGTCCCTCCCTCTTCATATCCTCTACTACATCTTTCTGTGCACCAGAGCAGGTTAGCAGTTCAAATCTAATTCCCTGAGATCATCTTTGATAGCGGGGAAACCATCTTAGTAATACAGAAAATCCAGGTTTCACCTCAAACTTACCTCTATATACCTTCCTAATCCTGCTTTGTAGTACAGTGCCCTGGTGAAAAGCATGTTAACTAAATACAGAAATGCTGATAAGAGTCACATACCACGTAGAGCTTGTGCCATATCTGCGCCCATTCCCTGAGAGTGGCCCCCAGCTCTTGCACCAACGGGAGGTCTGAGGGGATAATTATTTCCTGCTGGCTGACATCCAAAAAAAGAGAATAAGATATTAGAGTAGTGCCTCATCATTCACAGCTGATGCCATATGATTGAGACAGTGCAACATTTCTACTGATGATAAATAGGAAGGATGCTTTGCCTTACACAGCCAAAAAAGACATTACCAAAGACGATAATTGCAAGTGCAGAGTGTTACTGACAGATGCCGAGGCGGGCCAGCAAACCAATATTATGTGAATTAATTATGTCATTTAGTTTACAATTTCCATAAGACGAGACAAGACATAAGACTGGATCTACGAGAACTTGACGAGATTTTGACATTCAGGCTATAATAATTTTAGTCTCACCATTTTTTACTTTATTTATAATATATTATATATTTAATATATATCTGCTGTTACTGTAGCTCTGCCTTTTGGGACTACACTCAAAAAATGTCACTCGCCACCAGAACCACTATTTTTTCAATCCAAATGTAGAGATCTTCTGACACAAGATTTTGTTCTATCCCTTTATTTAGTACATTTCAGAGTAGTTTATTCTAAATTGAAATAAAAAAAAGTTTTCAGATACTTTCAGACAGAATGGTTTTCATTATTCTTAATTTCTTTGTTAGTTTTGATGCTAAAGGTAAAATTGTGAATTGTATAGAAATATATACACTATATGTATTATTACTTTTTATCATTATTATATTGTATTGTATTGCTCTGTCATTTTCATCATTGTCATTTTGTTTTGCTAATTAGAATGACTTTGACAAGAAAATGGAGAAACCTTGAATGCTCTTGACAAAAGTATTTCTCTGTCTATGTGCATGTGTTTAACATAAAACAGACAAAGCACAAGGGCCATTACCATAGTTACATTGTAAAAAAGGATGGGGACGGACAGTCCATCCTATTAAGACTCTACCACTGAAATACATTAATACATTATTCATTTTAATTAAAGAAAATTAAGTGCCAATTTCTCACCCAATTCCCTCTACTCTGGCCTCCTTCAAGTGGATGTAGGAAGCTGGGAAAATGCCCTAGAGACAATGAGTTACTATCAGAATTAATGCATCATGGTGGAAGGTACAGTATCATAATTAAGTGCTAATGACGCTACCTTGTGTGATTTCTTGCGTAGTGTGTAGCCTCTGTACCAGCCTGCGGAGACAAAGATTCATCTTGAAAAGGAGAGGAGGCAGGGGATGACAGTCAAGAGGGCACAGTGGCAGTGCATGCTCATTTACATGATTAGACATGGCATACCGTGTGGTGCTGGGTTCAACACTTCTAACCTAGGTCCTGTGTCAGCATGTTCAAAAGGACGTGTTGGTGCTTGTTGCATGTTCACTCACCTTCCAGTTTCTCAAGTATGTGCACCGCGTCCCCCACCTGTAGGCACAGCTCGTGGTCTCCGCTCGGATCATAATTGTAGATGGCTGCGGGACAAGAACAAAAGGCTGTTTGCTTATATGTACTTAACAGGAGAAACAGACTTTAAGCAAGGGCTGCACTATATAATGCGATCTAATTTACGCCATAATTTGAGCTACCGCAACTATACCTCATTAGAATGTCCTCTGCAAACCACAAACCATCTTGTCTTTTTATAGACAGCACACTTGTACCTGTAGTAAAGACCTTTTCAAATATGTTCTGAAATCTGATTGGATTCTTCAGTCTTTGAAATGTAAATACTCTTGGAGCTGTTTACATTGTGTTCTTTGAACAGATTTCTACAATTTCCATGAAATTAATGATAAAAACTGCAATTAAATTTTTCCAAAAAGCTAAAAAGTTTGTCCACATGGTTGAGCAGGTAACGGAACACCAAATCCCTTTTCAGTCACTTGTCACACACAGAAGCAAGGCTGTTTAGAAAAAAGCTCATTGGAAACCAATTCTTTTTCAAAGGGACCAATCTTTGTACAATTTGCACATGTAACACTCTTGAACTTAGATTTATTTCTTCACTGATGGCTCTTTTAAAAGTCGTGTCCAGAGAAAATGCTTTTTTGTCAAGTCTCAGAGGAATAAAGGTTTCTGGCCACCTTTTATTGAAACAAATAGTCAGAGACTGTAGCTAATGCTGAAGCAAATGGACCAAGGCAGAGAGAGTGGCCTTTGGCCTGGTGCTGGGTCAAAGCCAGAGTAGGACAGAAATCACACAAGAATAATGTAACTAAATGATTCATAAACAAAATAAAACTTTCTGCAAGACACACATAACTAGCATCTAATAGTCTGAAAGTTCATTTTAACAGTACACTATCAGCCAGGACATACAAACATACCTATGATTTCAAATGTTTTTATTCCTACTCATTAAGACTCCAAACAAGATGACAAAAGATGTCATGCTTGAAAAAATGATAATTTGATTTTGTTATTCAGATATTCAGTCAAATCAGACTTATTTCTTAGGGGAAAATTGTTTGGAGTTTGAATATTTATTAAGGAATAACACACCAAGATTATAATGTTGCTTAACAAAGCAAGTACTGCCCTTTATTGTTGTTATTGCTATGTTCTGTAGCACTTTGGTCAACCTGTGGTCAATTGCATTATAAATAAGTTGCAGTCGTCTTGCATGTTTCTTCCTCTGAGCACTCAACCCACCCATCAATCCAAAACACGCACAGTAGGTCAAATTCTCCAGCTAAGGTAATCCTGACCAAGAACAGCTCAAAATCCAGAGATGGGTCCTTGCATCCTGTTCTTTGGCACCCACTACCCCAAATGCAGAGGACAATTTTTTAGGACAATAAAAAAGAAGAGAGAAAAATATTTTTTTAGCTAACAGGCAAACAAATCATAAAACAAATACACTGAGATACAAACAAAAGAATACATAAAAGTGCATAGTTTTCATACAGCTCTTGTGTGTTGAACTCTTTCATTTCTTACATAGCAACCTTTGACCCCTATATAGTCAGCTGGATTCCATTTGCGACTCCTCCTTCGTATTACGTATACTTGATTGAGTAAACTTGTCATGTCTCTTCCTTTGGTTAGTTGAAGGCATACAATATGACACCAGATAATAAAGGTACACACAAGCCCATGAGTGTCGCAACAGAAAAAACACCTTAGCAAACAATACAGTAACAAAGGTCTTTGCCATGACTCGAGGCAGCTGCAATTGCGCATAGCCGCACAGTAACTTAGAGGAACTGAAGTAGCCATGCCCTGACTTGCATAGTGATAATGCGGATTGCTGGAGGCTAGATTTCATAGCACGCTTCAACTGGCTCGGCTTATCGCACCTCCGTCTGAATACCTAAATTTAACACAAAAAAGTGAACTCTACCATATCTCCATCTCTATAACTCCCTCTTCTATGCTGGGAGATTTTTTCCTGAGCTTTCAATAAAAAACATTTGCACAAACAGTCAGCTCTGCAGGGAACCGGCTACTGTTTGTATAACCAATGCATGATCTGAGCACCCCTGCTGTGTGGTTCACACCTGCACAAGCTGGAAGTGTAATAACAATATTTGATCAGTAGAAGGAGGTGCACAGTGCTACAGAGGCTTTTATACACTACATCACTCCTTCAGCAAGTTACATGCTTAGATAAATGTAAGAGAATGCCTCAGGAAGGGCATCTGTCATCTGACACATTCCTTTTTAATCTATGTTTTTATGATAATGGTTACTATGAATTTTGACTATTTGTTAGCTAAACGTATGTACTTCTAACATTGTATGTCATGTTTGTATTCCCCTTATTGTGTGTTCTGCAGTGTCAGCACTTTGCCCCAGACACATTTCCCTCTGGGACAAGAAAGTAGATTTGATTTGATTTGAAATGCAAATGCTTATTCATGTTAACATGCATGAGACACACATGTAAACACACCAGCTTGTAGCCATAGGCTTACTTCAATCTGCTGTCTCATTTGCTTTTATAAACATACACTCATTCTTACACCTGCAGCTGTGCAGCATGCATAAACAAAGGAAGTAAGATAGGGGAAGTGTCTTGCTCAAAGACACAATGGTATACACCAATCAGAGCAGGGATCAAATTGTCAGCCTTTAGATTAGAGGTCACACACTCTGTGACTGAGCCAGTGCTACCCACTGCACACTGGATGTAGAGAGATTATTGCCTGTGATTTACCCAAAAGAAAGTGTCAGTGGGGGAAAAAAGTGGTGAGTGCTACTTTCTCAAGAAGGTGGTTGTGGGCGCAAGTACAGTAACTGAACAAAGTGTGTGTGTGCTGTACTCCCTTTACTACAGTGGAATCCATATGGGTGCCCTAGGTTACTAACATCCATTTTTAGAAATAATCTGTGAATGTAATTTTCTATGTCGAATGAATAAAAGAGCATGTCTGTCAAGGCCCTGTAATGTGTAGGCTTGAACGTCAAAGACCATCAAAATAATTCAATACTAATGAATACTGGAGAATTGCTATTTCATAGGTGAATACACTTGCTAAGGTGAAATAAATTCTTGTTCAACAATACATATGCCTTGCACTTTAATTCATCGACATGTCAATGGTAGCTCTCAAAACTATTAAGTATCTCCATTATCACACCCTCCATTGGATCCAAACTGAACTCACATGCCCAGGAATTCAATGCAAAAACAACTATTTATACTGAGGAAGTTAAACTTTTGTCTTTTAGACTTAAAAAAAGGTACAGCTAATGTTGCACATAATAATGCATTTGATTTATTACAGCACCCAAAGGCACTTTTAAACTCATGAAACTATTGAAAATAAATTAATAATAATTTTGGTTTCAGGTTATGTTTTCTAACTTTTGCTCTACTGGAGAACATTGATAAGAAGACAGTTAATTAGTAGTAAATGACTACTCTGCTGCTTAACTAGAAAAAATGTTTGCCTACATAGCTGTCACAGAGCATGAATGGCTTTATTCAAAAGATAACCTTGACTTCTTTTATTTATCTTAAGTAGATGATTATTTACGCTTAGTGAACAATGCTAAATGTTTTGGAGAAGTGACATCTGCTTCTAGTCATGCCCAGAGTGACAATGGCCCATTCAAAGCCTGGACGCAGTGTCTGCGCTTAGCAACACACTGGAATGGAGCCAATAGACTGCACTGGGTTGAGCAGGCTGTGATGCCACACTGTCTCAACTAAAGGCAACTCTCTGCGCCTTGGCTGAGTTCAGTGAAAGACGCTATATCTCTACAGCGACTTAGACAACAAATACAGAGATAAGGATCCAGCTCATTTGCTGCAGTCGGATTTCCAATAAAGTTTCTCTTTGAGCAAGTTCAAGATTGTGTGAAGTAGTCCTAGACAAAGTCAGAGCCAGTTAGAATATATTACAGAAGTGGACAAGATAGTAACAGGCTGAGTAAGACCAGTTTTTAAATTATGCATTTGGTGCATCCAGATTGCACAATGTGTTTTTTTACAACACCCTAGGCACCTCACCTTTATGTGAATGTGGTTTTTGAGTAAGATATTAGAGGCTGCAGGAGGGGCTGCAAATTAGAGCATCTGGAAAAGAGCAATGTATTAATGCATCAATGGAAAAAAACAACAATGTAATCAATTACCAAAACAATTACAGCCCTAATTATGAGCATATTTGTACTATTTAGCTTTTAGCATACATGCTAATATAAGTTCTGAAAATTAGATTGAGTGAAAATTGATCATGAATTTCCTAAATCAGGCTGTGACATTGTTGCCTTTATACTGACATAATGGCTTTAACACTAAGAATTTTCAGAGTATCTTCTATGTGATAAACACATAAGAAAAACATATTCACAGATGGCCTTAAACTCACAATAAAATGTAAATAAATAAAAGTATTGGAGTTTCATCAACTCTGTAACGTAAATAAGGATAAAATATGTATGGAAATATAAAGAGCCACTGTAAATCTCCTCAACTCATTAAGTGAAAGCAGCTCTATAAAGTTTTCTGGAGAGACACAGATTCTGGGGTAGGGCATCTCAAAGCACAGACCTCAGTGGGAGAGCAGCCGTTTGCCTTCTCCCACTGTCTAGACGCCTCCCAACGATCTTCACTTTACACAGCGCTCCAGCTAATAAGTCCTTATAGGTTATCCATAAATCATGACGTTTTTCTGATCTTCATGCCAAAAGAACATAAAAGAATACATTTAGACTGGGGTGATAACATATTTAACTAACAAAAAGGCTGGAGGAGTCTAGCAATGCATTTTCTGCTGTGGGAAAAGGTTGCATTAAGTTGATCATTGTGAAATGATGTCTGGTTTGTGACAGTGCACTTGACCTAATAGTATACAAGTTTCACAATGACCAAATTGCTGACCAACTAGGTTTCTAGGTCACTAATGTTACAATACTAAAAATTCCAAACTCAGTATTGATACTTAGGAAAAGGCTGGATACTTGATAATTTTTGATAAAAGAAAACTCTTTTTCAACACAATAGATTATAGAGGTAGACTGG